CCACTGCACTCCAGTCTGGGCGACGGAGTGAGACTCCAACTCAAAAAAAAAAAAAAGTTTTTTTGACCACTTAAAAAAAAGAATAATCCTACCTCATATAACTGTTGTGAGAATTAAATAAGGTGATACCCATAAAACACCTGGTGTAATGCCCAGTGCCAAAGGGTCTCAGTAAATTTGTTTTCCTTTTTTTTGTAATCTTAAATACTACTCTCATGAACTAGGCATTATTATTACACTCACCTTCCAGATAGGGAAACTGAGGCTTGGAGAAGGGCAGTCTGTGGGCCTGATGTATTTCTGCGGACCCTTGGACTACGAGAAGAATCTTGCCATACATCCCATGCTGTGTATACCATGGTGTTGAGGCTTCCTGCCTCAGAAGGCCACATGTGGTTGGAAGGTCTATCTCCACTGGGGCCAAATCACTCAAACCCTTTGACTTCCCCTCCAACCCCCAGCCCCCACCCAGTATCCTCTTATCTGGAAAGTTGTAGTCTAAGAGAACATCTGTTTGGCCCAAACATTTGTTTGGCTTCGCAAGCAATTGTGAGGCCCATTGAGGCCCTGAGTGTGAGAACCACTTCTGTGGGGAGAGGCTTCCCACATTTGTATTGGGGTATCTCATCCCCTTAGCTTTGGCCAGGTGGTCCAGGACAGCAGGAGTGGGGGCAGGGACTTAAATGGTTAGGGTCTACTCTTGTCTGCTCTAACTGGGGATGTTTACTTTAGAACGTGGTGGGGGGGGCTTTGAAAGAAATCTGAATAGTAGATTTCAGGTTATGCAGTATAAATATAGGCCTTGTTTAGGGAAGGGACCGGTGATCAGAGTGGCCCAGGCAGATATGCCCACAGCTCCTGGCCTGAATTCTGAGCCTTACACCACCAGCCTTCCCCTCTCTCCTCACAGGGCTCGGTAGTATTTGACTGCTTTGAAGCTGCCCTGGGAGGTGAGGTGAGAATCTGGTCTTACACTCAGCCCAGGTACCAGAAGGAGCTCAATCTCACACAGCAGCTGCCTGGTAAGTGGTCCCAGAGCCTCGGGAAATCCAGATCTTGGCCTCCCTTGGTCTCTTTCCCCCTGGCCGCTCCCTTCCTTCTTGCACCCTCTCCCTAGCCCATTCACTCTCAGGCAGGGCTCTGAGCTTGTGTTCTTCCCAGAGTCAGTCTCTCAGGTCTTCTCTCCCCGGGTGAGACATGCTTTCCAACGCTGGGGAAAATGCTTTGGGCACCAGACGGATGTGGGTGGTATTTCGGGTGCAGGGAGCCCTTCCCAGTGCCCTCCATGAGTCAGATCACCCCTTTCCTTCCCTGGCCACCAGCCCCACTGGAGGCTTTTCTATGATCTCTCCCCAGACTGCAGGGGGCTCGAAGTCCGGAACAGCATCCAGAGCTGCTGGGGTAGGGGCTAGGGCCAGGGGCTCTGGGGGGTGGGGCAGAGTCTGGAGTATGAGGGACCCTTGGAATCCACTTCAGATCTGGGGTATCACATTCCAGAAGCTCATAGAGCACATTTATTCATTCATTCATTACACTGGGAGTATAAAGAGGAATCACTCCTTATAACACATATTTATTAGTACCAGGGACCTCTAGACACCCAAAGCATTGACAAGATTATGGTACCCTCTTTTATATATCAGAATTAAAATAACATTGAACCTGAAATAAGAGCTAAGAAAGTCAAAGTTCTGATTTTTTTTCCCCATGTACTATTTGGGTTTTGTTTTAGTCTTGTTCATTTTTTTGTTTTGTATTTTCTTTTTTATTTTGTAGCATATATACATAAACATGTATTCTAATGTCCACTTCAATTAGTTTTTACATGTATACATTTACACAAGTAGCACCAGATCAAGATATAAACTATTACATTTTTTTCAACTTTGCTTTCTGAAAATTCGGTTCCTTAAAATTAAACTTGGCCTACCTCTTTGGCAACCCCTTAAAGACTACCCAGCATCAGAACTTTTTTTTCTTTTTATACTTTCTGCTTTTAGGTCACAACTTCAGAACTTTAAAAACACAGACTCACATTACATTTTATTTCTTTTTCTTTTTTAAATGAGAGTCTTACTTTGTCACCCAGGCTGGAGTGCAGTGAGACGATCACAGCTCACCACAACCTCTATTTCCTGGGCTCAGGTGATCCTTCTGCTTCTGCCTCTCAAGTAGATGGGACTAACAGGCATGTGCCACCATGCCCAGCTAATTTTTTGGTTTTTTATAGAGACAAGGTTTTGCTATGCACCTAGGCTGGTCTTGAACTCCTGGCCTCAAGCAATCTTCCCACCTAGGCCTCCTAAAGTGCTGAGATTACAGGCATGAACCACCACACCTGGCCTCATTTCTTAATTTTAAAAAATTTTGAGTTTTTGAAATTAATTAATTAATGAATTATTTTAGAGACAGATTCTTACTCTGTCACCCAGGCTGGAGCTCACTATAACTTAAAATTCCTGGGCTCAAGCAATTCCCCTCAGCCCTCTGAGTAGCTGGGACTACAGGCACATGCCACCATACCCAGCTAATTTTTCTATTATTTTTTGTAGAAATAAGGTCTCACTCTGTTGTCCAGGCTGGTCTTGAACTCCTGGGCTCAAGCAATACTCCCTCTCAAATTACTGGGATTATAGCCGTGAGCCACCACTCCTGGCTAGGTCATGATTCTGAGCAAGGGAAAATGATTTGTTTTAAAGTAGTTACAAGATCCTTGTGGCTGGAGAGAGAGAAGCGAGGAGAAGAACTCTCCTAAGACCACATAATGGGGCCTCCATGGGCTCTGCCCTGGGCCAGCTGCTAGAAGCAAAGTCTGGTCTGAGATGGGGACACAGGCTCCGCTCTCCAAGGGCTTCTGGGTCTAAGGGGCTTGAAGAAAACTCCAAAGGGTCAGTTGGTGGGTATGGCCCAGGCTTTGGTATGCAGAAGAGGTGAAGGAAATCTAAGCTTCCCTCTCTCTCTTTGCCTCCCCACCAGCCCTGCCCTGGCTCAACGTGTCTGCGGATGGCGATGACGTGTGCCTTGTCCTGGACATCTCTGAGGAGCAGCACTTTAGCCTCCTTCTGTACTGGAACCAGGTCCAGGGGCCCCTGAAGCCCTGGAGGCAAAGAAACCTGGTGAGGCCTACCCCTCTCCAAGTCCATTCCCACTGTAGGCTGATGTTCATGCTAAGGATGAGTGTGCACTCTCAAGGAGGACTTTTGAAGATGACACACACAAGCAAGGGAACGTTGGTGGAGGAGCTTCTGCCTGCCTGGTTTCCTGGACTTTGGCCTCCCCTATTTCTCTTTCTTATCTTCTCCAACTTGCCTCCTTTTGCTTGTCCCACAGACTGGGCCACAGACCATTACCTTGAACCACACAGACCTGGTTCCCTGCCTCTGTATCCAGGTAGGAGCAGAGTCCAGATGGACACTAGGGGAAGGGGATTGGGAAGATGACGGGAGGGGGATGGCCCCCATCTTCCTGGTCTCACCATCCTCCAGACTCCTCTTTGAGGTGGAGACTGTTGCTCCCTGGGGTGGCCAGTCCTCTCTTGACCCTTGCTGTCTTATGCCTTCTGTCTGTTACATGCCTATAATGCTCTTCCTGGTCCTCCATCCACAGGACTCTTACTTATGCCTCATGGCCTCATTCAGATGTCACTTCCTCCTTGAAGCCTTCTCCTACTCGTAGCTCCAGTTCCCCCTTTGTGCTCCCCTAGAGGGTAAAGCAAGTACTATAGACTTAGGCTGGTTTGAATTTTGGCTCTTGCCATTTGCTAGCTGTGTGACCTTGAGCAAGTTACTTCACTTCTGTGAGCCTGCTTCCCATCTGTAAAATGGTAATAATAATAGGACTAACCTCCTAGGGCTATTATAAGGAAGTATGCCACATCCAGGCTCTGTCCTCTCCCTCTGTCTGCACATTTATTTGGCCATTGGACCCCATTCATTTCACCTCTGGCATTAATGTCTCTCATTCTCTCTCTCTCTCTCTTTTTTTTTTTTTTTAATTAGGAGTCTCACTCTGTTGCCCAGCCTGGAGTTCTGTGGCAAGTTCATGGCCATTGCAGCCTCCACCTATTAGGTTCAGGTGATCCTACACCTCAGCCTTCCAAGTAGCTGGAACCACAGGCATGCACCACCATGCCTAGGCTTTTTTAATTTGCTGTAAAGTTAGGGTTTTGCTAATTTGCCCAGGCTGGTCTCCAACCTCTGGACTCAGGCTATCCTCTTACCTCGGCCTCCCAAAGTGCTGGGATTACAGGCGTGAGCCACAGCGCCCGGCAATGTCTTTCATTCCTTTCCCCCTTCGTCTCCATCTCAGTCCAGTGTGGACCTCTATCCTCTCCCCAGACTGTTGAAATAACCTCTAGCCTGACCTCCCTTCCCCGCCATTGTGGGCCGATATTCTGCTCGCAACTTCATCATTTCCACTATGTTTTCCCCATGATTTACCTTCATGGTAACTTTATAACCTCCAGTGGAGCTACTTGCCAAGACACACCCACTTATATGCCTTCGCTGAGGCAGTTCCCACTACTTCAAATGCTCTCACCCTTTTTTCATGTAGCCAAATCCTCCCAGCTCACTTGTCACCTCCTTCCCAAAGCTTTCCCCCAGCCATCTAGCCACTCCTAGCTCCAAATTCCCCTGTACTTGTTCAGTCTTTCTTTGTCTATTTATTAACTTCCTTTCTTATTTGGATGTCTTATTTCTTGTACCCAACAGATGCTCAATGAATATTGTGAAATGAGTGACTGATTTACTAATTTATTTACATATTTTATCCTTGCTACAACTATGAGTTTGTAATTTCCTTGAAAGCAAGCAAATCATATCTGATTCAGATGTAATAACTTTGCCAGAGGGAGGGGACCCGAGGGGGTTGCCAGTGAGTGTTCTTAATTAAAAGTTTGATGAATAAATTAATATATTCTTATCTCAAGTGCTCAGCACAGGGCTAAGCACATAATCGGTGCTCTTAAAAAGTCTAGTGAAGAATAAATGAATTTGTCCTTAGCATCTAGCTCATTACCTGGCACACAGTAGGTGCTCACAAAGTGATTGTGGAATGAATTAAAATTAATTATGGAACGTCCCTTTTGCCTACCATACTGCTAAGACACATAGTAGGCACTCATTAAAAGCTTGTTGAATGACGATGTTACCAGTGCTGGACATTATGTTTGTTGGAAGAAGAAATGTGTGCATCTCCAGGACTTTGTGAATGCCAAGAAGACCTTATGAAATATCTGTTGAAAGCATGTGTCCCCACTGCCTAGCAGGGAGCTGGGCACATGCCCATGGAGGGTTGGCTGGGTTGAACTGACCTGAGTTAGAGCTCTGTTTCCTTTCAGGTGTGGCCCCTGAGGCCCGACTCCATCAGGACGAACATCTGCCCCTTCAGGGAGGGTGAGCGGACTAGCTTGGGGACAGAGTTGGAGACTGTGCCGGTGGACAAGCGGACTAGTGCCTGGCGTGAGGTGACCCATGCCCTTTCCCTGCAGATCCCCGTGCACACAGAAACCTGTGGCGTGCTGCCCAGCTGCGGCTGCTGTCCCCACGGAGCTGGCGGCTGGACGCACCATGCTCTCTGCCCGTCCAGGCAGTGCTATGCTGGCAGATACCAGGTGGGGGCCCCTGTCAGCCGCTGGTCCCTCCGCTGTCCTGGGAAAATGTCACTGTGAACGTAAGCAAGGCAGAAGGCAGTGCCCAGGATGGAGGGAGAGAGGGGAACCCAGGGTCCCATTTCATGACCCAACTCATTCCTCTCTTTTCACAGGAGGCTCACCAGTTCCCGTTGCTGAACGGCCACCCTAACCTCTGTGTCCAGGTCAGACAGGGGTGCCAGAATGCTGGGCTGGGGGCAGGACCTGTGCAGACCCCCAACCAAGTCACTCACTTTGTTCTTGGGCCCCTGAGGCTTGGTGGTTAAGGCCTTCCTCTTTGGGAGTTCCACTATTTACTGTAGCAGTGTGAGGGGCCCTGGGCAAGTCACTTCACCTCTCTGAAAGTTAGCCTCCTCATGTATTTAACGCAGGTAATAAAACAGAGACTACTTCATAGAGTGGCTGTGAAGATGAACTAAGAGAAGTGCTTTGGCTTAGGGACTGCTACAGATTAAATGCTCAATAATGTTGGCTGCTTTTATTATTGCTGTCACTATTCTATTTCTCACCTGTAGAATGGATACTCCACAGTTTCAGGTGCATTCAGGGTGGTATGGTCATAGACAAGTTGTTCCACAATTTTATAAAATTTTATTTTACTAAAATATTCACTCATCCAAGACTTATTGAGCATATACTAATCACTATTTTAGGCACCATAATAGATCCTAAAGTCCCCACCCTCATAGAACTTGTGTTCTAATGGAGAAAGGCAGACAATAGGCCTTGTAAGTAAATTATACAGTATGTTAGAATTGCATACAAATAATATGGGAAAAAGTGAAGGGATGAGGGAGGACTGGGGTTGTAATTGTGTGGGGTGGTCGGGTAAGAAGGGAATCTTTTCTTTGAGAAAGTGGTTAGATGAGAGGGAGCATGTAAAACGCTCTGTAAGACATGCAACAAGCTTAGGGCTGGAAGGCCCTTTAGTGCAGATGATTTCACAAGGCTAGGGCTGAGAAAGATGAAATGACTCCTGATTACCCGGCCTTGAATCCAGATCTGTCTAAGATCAGGTCCAGACTTCCAACCCGACAGGCTTTCTCTTGCCTGCCCCTTCTCTTCTGGTCTTTCTGGCCTTGGCTCTTGCTTTTCTAGTGCCCCTAACCCCGGCCCCTCCCAAGCAGGTGAGCAGCTGGGAGAAGCTGCAGCTGCAAGAGTGCTTGTGGGCTGGTGAGTGGGGCCTGGGGGACACTGGGGCAGAGTTTCTGAGACAGGGGTGATCACTGGCAGTGCTAGTTCCTGGGAGTGAAGGAAATGCATGGGGGTAGGGGATGGGATGGGAAGTAGGGGGTGGGAGGGCAAGCAGCAACTCCCAGCAATGTTTGGTTTTGGTCAGATTGGCCTCTCACCCCTTTCAGACTCCCTGGGGCCCCTCAAGGATGATGTGCTGCTGGTGGAGACACGCGGCCCCCAGGACAGCAGATCACTCTGTGCCTTGGGACCCAGTGGCTGTACCTCACTGCCCAGCAGGGCCTCCACGGTGAGGGCTGGGGGACCAGACCTTCCTCCACAGACGTCTCCAGCTCCATCTCAAACCTGCCTCACATTTTTACTTCATCTACCTTGTGATGGTCTCTGGGGATGCGGGGTTGACTCAGACATGGGCTCTGCTCAGTGGCTTCTTAAAAGTCTCCCACCCACTTCCATTCTGCAGCTGCGGCCTAGTGGGTGCTGCCCCAAGTAACACCCCCCAACCCATTGTCTTGGCAGATGGCTGCTCGCCTCGGAGAGCACTTACTACAAGACCTGGAGTCAGGCCAGTGTCTGCAGGTGAGTAGGTGGCAGGAGGGCCCTGACCCACTGTCTAAGGGCAATAGGCCTAAAACTAGCACTCACCTGCTGTCTATGTGTGCTGTTTTGTGTTCAGCCCTAGGAAAGTTAAGAGTAAAAGAAACAGTTATTTCCCCAAGGAGCTCACTGCTGACTAGAGACCAGTAAACAGCCACACCCACAGGCACTAAGTATTAGGTTCCAGGGAGAGCTTCAAGGAAGCATTTCTTCCTGTGGGTCAGATTTGGTGTGGAAAAAAGTCACAACTAGGCAGTAAGCATAACATAAGCAAAGGCAGAGCAGCTGTAGGAATCTGCTGTATGTGGCGGGGAATAAGCATAGTTGAGGCTGGGAATTTGGAGGTGAGGCTCACCAGAACTTGGTGAGTGTTGAACACCAAGCTGGGGATCCTGGACTTGGTTCTGTTTGTGTCTTGCAGCTGTGGGATGATGACCTGGGAGCGCTATGGGCCTGCCCCACGGACAAATGTGAGTATTACAAGAACTGCCTTTCCTGTCTGTTTTTGCAGGGGCCACGTGACCGTGCCCTTCCCTAGGCTCAGATAAAGAGCTTGCAAGGATCTTAGGATCACCAAAAAGATACCATCTCTACCTGCCACACATAGAAGTCTAGCATGACATTAGCCAATCCCTTACATTTAGTAAGTGTGAGCTATTGTATACTCACAAGTGTGAGCTCACAACTCAAAAGCATACCCTAGGAAACTGACCTAGGTGGGATGAGGGGTTCTGGGGAAAGATTTGAGTGGGACTCTGAGGTTGAGCTAGCTGAAGGGGATAAAGATGCATTTCTGTGAGCACTCTGAGGTACTTCTTTGAGAAACTCCACGGTGGCCATGGCCAGTGTGACCAGAAGGTCTTAGGCAGGCCTCTGTCATGAGATGACGATGCAGGAGACGTGTGGGGAAAATGGATGTTTTGTTTAGAGCAGCAGGAGCTTTTGAAGGGTTTCGATCAAATTTATATATATGTAAACCAAAAAGTGACTGAGGCAGATCTGTCAATTTAGAGGTTTATTTTGCCAAGGCTGAGAATGAGTGGGAAAAAGAATCACAAGTTACAGCAGCATCCATGGCCTATGCTTTTTCCAAAGAGGGTTTTGAGGACTTCAAAAGGGAAAGAGCAAGCAGGAGGGGAAGGGGAAAGGGAAAAAAAGGGGAAAGAGGGTACTGTCAATGAGGCAAATGGTTACATTCTTGTGAGGCTTTGATTAGGGCTTAGTGAATCTACATTCTGCCTGTGAAGAGGGGGTAAAGGTCAATTACGAATTCATCTAGCTCTCAGTAAATCTACATTTTACATAAGATAAGTAAGCATGTGCAGTTATAGCTGTCTGGTAACAAAAGGAAGACAGTTTTTGCGTATGTGTGTGTGACTCAGTTCCCAAGCTTAACTTTCCCTTTGGCATAGTGAGTTTGGGGTCCCGAGATTCTATTTTTTGTTTTCCTTTCACAATACATATATGGGGGTGCACCAAAAATGTATACACTTTTTTTTTTAGTTGGAGTCTCACTCTGTCACCCAGGCTAGACTGCAGTGGCACACTCATGGTCACCCCAGTGTTGACCTGCTGGGCTCAGGCAATCCTTCCGTCTCAGCCTTCCAAGTAGCCAGAATTACAGGAGCGCACTACCACGCCTGGCTAATTTTTGATTTATTGTAGAGACAAGGTCTCACCAAGTTGCCCAGGCTGCTCTCGAACCCACGGGCTCAGGCAATTCACTCACCTCAGCCTCCCAAGGTGCTGGGATTACAGGCTGAGCCACGGAGCCTGGCTGTATACACATTTTAAGAGATGTTATCTATTATTTTTCAAAGTTGAATTAAATTACAGTAGCAAGCTGGGCATGGTGACTCATGCCTGTAATCCCAGCATTTTGGGAGGGAGAGGCGAGAGGATTGTCTGAGCTCAGGGGTTCGAGACTGGCCTGGGTAACTGGGTGAGACTTCATCTCTACAATAAATTTTAAAAATTGGGCAACTCCCTCGGGTCCCCTCCCTCTGTGGAAGCTTTTCTGTTTTCTCAATAAATCCTGCTTTCCAAAACAAAAAAAAATTAGCTGTGCATGGTGGCACGCGCCTGTAGTTCCAGCTACTTGGAAGGCTGAGGTGGAAGGATTGCCTGAGCCCAGCAGGTGGAGGCTGCAGTGGCCATGAGTGTGCTACTGCACTCCAGCCTGTGTGACAGAGTGATACCTCAACTCAAAAAAAACCAAACAAATACCAACAAAAAATGAGGGTAGCAATGTGGAGTATGATGTTTGCTCAGCTGTGTTTCCATCATTTTGTTTGATTGTCCTACCCATTGCATGGTGATGCTAGCATTCATTTGATTAATGCTATCTTTTGAACAAACGTCATACTTAAGACATGTATATGGTTTTTTTTGGCACCCCCTGAATTTTGAGAGACAGGGTCTCACTCTGTTGCCCAGACTATACTGCAGTGGTGCAATCATAGCTCCATCTAGCCTTGAACTCCTGGGCTCAGGGGATCCTCCTGCCTCAGCCTCCAGAGTAGCTGGGACTATAGGTGTGTGCTACCATGCTTGAATAATTTTTTTCTTTTTCTTTTTTTTTTTGAGTTGGAGTTTCACTCTGTCGCCCAGACTGGAGTGCAGTGGCCGCTCCTGGCCGCAGTGGCCGCTCCTGGCCACCGCAGCCTCGACCTGCTCCGGCGATCCTTCTGCCTCAGCCTTCCGAATAGCCCGAATTACAGGCATGCGCTACCACGCCCGGCTGATTTTTTGATTTATCATAGAGATGAGGTCTCGCTGCCCAGGCGGGTCTCGAACCCGCGGGCTCAGGCAATTCACTCACCTCAGCCTCCCAAAGGCGTGGGATTACAGGCTGAGCCACTGAGCCCGGCTTTTTTTCATTTTTGTAGAAATGAGTCTTGCTATGTCACCGAGGCTGGTCTCCAACTCCTTGCCTCATGCAGTCTTCCCAAAGCACTGAGATTACAAGCATGAGGCAATGCACTAGCCTTCAAATTTATTTACATTTATATATTTTTTGAGTCTGGCTCTGTTGCCCAGGCTGAACTACAGTGGCATGATCATGGCGCATCGAAGCCTCGACCTCCTGGGCTCAGGTGATCCTCCCAGATTAGCCCCCTTGAACAGCTGGGACTAGAGATGTGCACCACCACACCAAGCTACTTTTTACATTTTTTTGTAGTCTAGTCTCGAACTCCTGGGCTCAAGCGGACCTCTTGCCTCGGCCTCCCAAAGTGCTGGGATTATAGGTATGAGCCACCATGCCCAGCCAAATTTATAATTTTAAAAGGTCATTTGGTGAATGGATGGGAGGCAAAAAAAGACAGACCCGACACACCAGTTAGATTATTGCAGACATCCAAGACACCAAGGTCAAGGGCACAGCAACTTTAGACTTAGGGGACAATTATTAGCTTCCAAAAAGATTGCTGCCCCGTATGTCCCTTGCAGCACTATTTTTAAAAGATTATTATTAGCTGACATTTGAGCACTTATAATGCTTGGCATTGTGTTAAGTGCTTTACGTGTATTAATGTATTTAGTCCTCATATCAACCCTAGGAAGTAGACAGACACTATTGTTATCCCAATTTCACAGAGGTGAAAACTGAGGCAGAAGGTGAAGTTACTTATCCAAAGTCACCCAAACAGGTGGAGCTATATTCATACACTGTCTCTGACACTATGTGCTGTGGACTTGGGGCAAATCATTTCATTTTCTAAGTCTGTTTTTCTCCTGTGAAGTGGGGTGAAAGTCTGAGGTTTCTAACTCTTCTTCCCGTCTCCCAGACATCCACAAGCGCTGGGCCCTGGTGTGGCTGGCCTGCCTCCTCTTTGCCGCTGTGCTTTTCCTCCTCCTGCTTCTCAAAAAGGACCACGTGAAAGGTGAGCGCTCCCTGGCTCCCATCCCCCGGGGAAAGGGCCAGAGTGGACCCGGGCGATCCCGAGGAAAGGCGGCGGCCAAGCTCACCGGCTGCCTTCGCCCCTCTCCCCTCACAGGGTGGCTGAGGCTCTTGAAGCAGGACGTCCGCTCGGGGGGTGAGTGGGCGCGAGTGCCGGGCGGGGGGCCGCCCCCTGCGGCCCGGGCCTCGGCCCTCACTTCTGCCTCCTCCCCCCGCTCCCCGGCAGGGGCCACCAGGGGCCGCGCGACTCTGCTCCTCTACTCGGCCGACGACGCGGGCTTCGAGCTCCTGGTGGGCGCGCTGGCGTCGGCGCTGTGTCAGGTGCCGCTGCGCGTGGCCGTGGACCTGTGGCGCCGCCGAGAACTGAGTGCGCAGGGGCCCCTGGCCTGGTTCCACGCGCAGCGGCTCCAGACCCTGCAGGAGGGCGGCACCGTGGTCTTGCTTTTCTCGCCCGGGGCCGTGGCGCTGTGCAGCGAGTGGCTGCA